CCCAAATAGATTTTACCAGCTCACAAATTGTCAAAAATTTACCAGATGGTAACGTATGAACAAACAAATCCTCCACATTTCTGATCACCAATATCTTTTAAGTTTAAAATCTGATTTCTTAAGTAGAAAAATCAAAGATCAAACAAAAGAACATCCTTGCAAAGCAAATTTTACTTACAAAAACAAAGGTAACAAGAAAACATATAGTTTCGACTATGTGCACTACAATCCAAAATTTTCTCACAGGAATGAGCTCCAAATGATAAACAAATTTCTTGTTCTCGCTTACGTGCTCTGCAGAATGGTCACTTCTGCATGATCAATCTGTTTTCTTCGATTCGTGAAGGGACCTTTCTGCATTCCATTCAGCAAATGCCTTCTCACCCCCAGAAATACTTCTAAATAGCTGTCTAGAGCACATGTATTGTGCTTGTGTTACATTCTTCATCCGGTTGGCTCTCACCCAAGCAGGTTCCTGTCAAGAAACAGATGTCCAAAGTTCTTAAACCATGAACACTCATCCAGATTTCTATCAAATAACCAGGAGAGATTTTAACTGTAATGAAAAGGAAATGGTTGTGAACTAAATGATCTTTATATCAGGCTAGAGTGCAAGAAGATCACCTCAGGAACCAAGTGGGAAAATCCAAATTTGATTAGCAGTAGGACATGCTCCATGATAAGAATTGCAGCAAGCCCAGGCTCGATTTTCCATTTCCCTTCCTGGTCGTATAACCATACCAGAAGTGCAGAGTTGGTGCATATTGACATCATTATTAAGAACTGAAATTCGAAGCCATCCATGCATCAGTAATAATATGAGTTGAATACTCCAAAAGCAAACATGGATGAGCGGTTGCTAAAGATTGTTAAAAGATCATAATGGAAAGAAAAACCATGTATATAATCCTGGTAAAAATATTGCCTTCCATATGCCAAAATTATGAACCATTTCCTGGATAATATAATTGTAAGAAAAGCAAATGGTTTCTCATCCCCTCTTTTCCACCTCGTGAGGAAAACTTTTCATCCAACCTTTTGTTCCATCAAAATTCAACCTCTTCCATTGTAGTTGCATTTATATTCCATGCTTTGTAGATATTTGTGAATCCAGGAACTGTTTAATAAGTGGGGCATTACCTTGGAAATGACGTATCCACTTCCTAACCCTAAGAATAAACTTGCAGAATTTTAATAAAAAATAAAAACAGTTCACAATTTGGCAGGACTGATCATTATATTGTATGATTGAGGTGGTTCAGCTGTTGCCATAATTACTAAATGCACATACAAGACTCACTGAAAAGAGTTCTTATACACCAAACTTCTAGACTTCTATAGTTCTATTGTTAAAAGAGAAGTAGTTAAGTGGATGCAAAGAAGTCTTAATCAGGACCTTTGCTTTTGCATTTGGTGAATGAGACTAGTGATTTTGATGGCCAAAGTACCTGAAATATGTTTAGCCAAGCTCCTATCGTTGTGGCAGCACGTGGAACAGGCCTTTTGAACATCACCAGCAGCTTCAGGGCATCTGCTCTCATTTCTACAAGGTTGCCCTATTCACGAAACTTCTATTTTAGTTGTCAATTTAACTGAAATAAATATCAAACTGTCTTTGCAATCAAGTGAAAGTGAGAAAAAACTCTAACATACCATAGCAGAAAAGACAAATGCGCTGGGGAATGCACAAGCAAACATCATGATCATTCCAAACTGCAGTGCCAACTCCAGAAAATCTGCAAATGATTGAGATTTTTTTTTTTTAAAGAAAGAACAGTATTTTGTTTAAGCTGGTACTTAATATCCAAATAAACAAAATTAGTGTCTTTTAGAGAACATCATAATACAAATTCTTCAATGCTCTCATTATCAACAACCCTAATTTTTATGGTTCAAAAAGAAAGGGAAAAATAAAACGAAAGAAAGAACAATAACGATTCTTTCAGGCTTTGCACATCTAAGCCCAAAAGTGGTTATCTATTACAGCTTCTAAGGCACAAAAACCGAATAAAATCATACTCATTTTTTGCTGCTGAAAATGCTTTGATGCTAAAGGAACATAATTATTATGGTTTAGTTTCATCAGGTTTTGAATGCCCAATGATATTATTAGTTGTAATATTTAGAACATTACCGTCAAACAGCCCGTCTTCTAGTTCCTTACAAATGCTTGCAGAATACGTGGATTTGAGGTACTCTTTCTCCACCCTGGAACTGAACTTGACCTTCCCAGTTGACCCTCCTTTCCCACATTGTTCCTCATTTCTTGACAAGAGAGACGCATTAATTAACTATCCAGAAAAAATTGAAAGTAATCCTAGCTATAAACTATGCTGAGATAACACAAGGAAGATGCATGAAAAAGCTTACCTAACAGCTTTAAATTTTTTATAGCTGTATTTGAGAAATGGTAAAGAATTTTCCGCCAGATTTTCAAACACCTGAACAGCATTTTGAAATACAGTACTATGAGTCTAATAAGCTGTGGGGAATTAACATGCAGTAAATAAAAGAAAAAAGAAGAAGGAGAAAATCTTTACCTTACGGACTTTTAGGAAAAGCTTTACCTGAGAGATTATCATACGTTGGATCAAGAGTAGGCGAAGGGTCAAAAAGTCACGATGTACCAGGGCATGATAGAAGACCCCAATGTATGTCTGCATAAAATAAAGACCAAAAACCTGCAATATAAAGTGAACTGTTCAAGTAAAAATCCCGGCAGCAGTAAAGGTAACCAATTCCATCGCGATATATTAAATTCTAGACATTACTTTGTAGACCAAGCTGTCAGCTCTATATTCTTGACTTTCACTGATTTCATACTTAATGAGCCTGGCTGATATCTTGCCTCCAATCTTTGTAAAATATTGAATGAGAGAAATATAAATAGCAGTTAAGCCAAACCTGAAAACAAAAGCACAACACATATAAAGTCACTAATAGAACCAACGGATTTTAGTAGTTTAAACGGAAAACAAGGAAAAACCCAGAAAATTTCTATATTTTTAAATTTTAATGAATCTGATCCATTTCATAAAAATCACAAGAGGCAGAATTTTACCTAACAATATGAGACTTGATAACAGCATAAAGATGAGCATAACACAACTCAAATGGCAACTGGAGGCAGATAATACTCAAAATAACGATGGTATCATTTCTGAATCGCATGAGATAGCCAAACCACTCATATCTTTGAAATGCTTCTTTCAGTTTTGCTTTATCAGTCCCCAAATTTTTTGTAAGTCCAATGGATGAATGTAGGGCACTCCACTCCATGCCCAGAACTCTAGATTCCTGGCTGGTGCTGACCGAACTGTTAATCTGCAATCTAGACAGCCAAAATCAAGAATAAGTGCAAGAGGAGGGATGAGGAACAAACAGGAAAACCACACAAATCGAGGCAATGCCGAAGAAACAAGACTAATATACGGAGAGATTAACTCTTTTCGTACCAAAACAGTTTGTCCTAGATCACTATCATTTATTACCTGGCCAGGAGAGCAGCGTTTTTACGTTTCCAGAACTGGAAAAACATCACAGCCCACAGGACTATGCTTACCAAGAAAATAGGAAGCACTAGCAACTGCAAAGATCTGAATAAATTATTTCATGATTGTTATTTGTTTACAAGCAATGACCTGATGTACTAAAAAGAGATAGGGAAGCAGTCTGCAGATCGTGAGGCTTACCCAAAATTAACCCAGTCTACAATAAGCCCAAATGCAGCTGGAAAAGTTATCCAACGTGTATACATTCCCAGGAAAGTAAAATAAACTGCTATCTACCAAATAAAAGTTCGTTGATTAAACAATATGCCAAGCAGTAAGAACAAAATATGAAAATTTAACCAATTTTTGATGCTATAAACCTTCACTCCAAAATAAGAATAAATATCATCAATTGGCTGGTTGGTGCAGTCCTTCAATTTTAGTGCCCAACTCCTCAGGAGATTCTTCCTCTTCTTTTCATCTATTACCACAGTTTGTCCTAGTTAATACCATGGGAACCGTAGGAACTAAAAGCAAAAGTGATTAGCATACCGTGCAGAGGAAAAACTTGTTTAACAATTCCCTCTGACTCCAACTTATGCAATAAAGACTTCCCAGCTTCCCACTGGATCTCTTTGCCATCAAATGTTAGATTTATGTCTGACTTGCTCCTGTTAATCTATAAAGGCATCAATCCAATCAGTAAACAGAGTGTGAGTGTGTGTATCCAGAGTAACAGAGTCACCATGAAAACATCAATTCAACATCCGATGGCAGACTTCAAATAAAAACACAATAAACCAACACTTAAATGACATATGTGTATGCCAAAAATCACAAAAATCTAAGTATACTTGAATCATGATTAAAGATTCAAAAAATACAATGCCAAAACCTCAGAGAACACTAAAGCTTTTATAAAAACATAATAGCACTCGAATGACACCAACTAGTAACAGCCTCAATGGAAAGTTAATGAGTGCATCTGATTGATGAAAAGAGACTTAAAAATTCACTCAACACAAAAAAGAATATTAGATCAACTTCTGAGAAAAAGAATATATACTAAATAATCAAGAGATGCATTGAGATCCCAAGCCCCCCACCCCCTCCCTAAAAAAAAAAAAAATCAGAGCTGCTAAAATCCGGAAACACACATTTGAATTTTGAACTTTAAATTTTACCACCTCAAAATAGATGTTGCAGATATAATAACTCACAGTTCCATATATTAAATGGTAGTAGCACTGGAAACGCTCACACCAACTGAACAATGAACCATCAGGCTGTCTCAGAAAAGCATCAACATTTTCCCACTCAAATTGTAAATCCATTCCTGGGGTTAAAATGAAACACATATCTACAGTCATCTCCAGGTACAATACCATTAATTTTAAGACTAGTAGACAACTGAAGAAGAAAAAGAAAGAAGACAGCAAGTGACATGAAGAAAACAATTATTACCAATGGAGGTAGGCTTCACTATCTGCAAGTTGGCTGCAGCCCTTCCCAAGACCTCGACAGGTGCTCCCAACTGAAAGAAAAAGTTACTAATTAAAATTATGGAAATTAAACTAGGCATCACTGGGGTTTAAAAACAAATAAAACAATGTTTTAGTAATCTGTGTGTTCAATACTCAATAGGAGAGCACCATGACTGTCACTGAAATTCTCTACCCAAATGCCCATTCCCTAGTCATGTGTGTGAAACCTAGGCCGCATTAATCATCTGCTAAGCAACCATGCAATGCAGACAATAAATCCAAAGTCTGAACAGCTACATGTAGTTCTAGTACCTCCTATGCCCTACCTACTTTCCTAAGAAAGAGACAAAAGGAAAAAGGAAAATAGAAGCACAAGAACACTGAGGAAACAACAGAAAGAAAGAATATCCGTCTTGTATACTGCTGGTGATTTAGAGTGCTAAACTCACTTTTGATGTTCTTTTCTTCCAATGAAAATCATATATTTTTTAAGAAGAAGGAACACAGTTGATCAACTTAAGAAAGAACAAGTCAATTCAATACTGACAAATTTACTAATTAAGTTCTTTTATCTGCTGAAGCGGTGGATGGTACTCCACTAAAACCGCAAGGAGATTCCATTCCCACAAACAAAGCTTAAACAAGAAAATCCCTTTTTCATTACAAGAATCCATTCCCATTTCCGATTAATCCATATTCAACAGGCCCTCAGAACAAACTCCCGATTGTAGTGAAGAAAGGAGAACCATTTTGTGCATTCAAAGAAAGAAGAATCTCCGGGCATTGCAAATCCACAAATTCCTTGACATTGTTTTTTT